CCCCCCTCAGACCCACAGCCATCCCTCAGACGAAACCCCTCAGAGCCCCTATGGGATCCACATCCATCCCTCAGACTGTAAATGGGGCCCACATCCTCCCTCAGAGCCCCTACCCCTTACTGCAGAGACTGCTTTCTGTCACGGATCTGCCACCCAGGGATGTGCAGGTTATGGGGATGTGGGGGTTTGGGGGATTTGGAGGTGGGTTACAGGGACCCGAGGTTGGGTTACAGGGACGTGGGGGTCATGGGGACGTGGCGGTGGGTCATGGGGACGTGGGGTTATGAGGCAAATCCCGTTAGACAGGTGCCTCGCTCTGTCCCGCAGGATGAAGGAGTGGTGGGTGCAGGTGGGGCTGCTGAGCGTACCCCTCCTCGCCATCTACCTGCACATCCCGCCCCCCAAGCTCTCCCCGGCTCTCCTCTCCTGGAGGTCCTCTGGAAGCTTCTTCACCTACAGGGACCAGAACATCTTCTACAGAGGTGACGGGGCTGTGCCGACCCCTGGGGACACCTCGTCCGTCCTGGTGGGGAGCGGGGCTGGGGGCTCTGCCCCCCGTGGTGGCCCCGGGGATGTCCCCAAGGCCCGGAGGGATGATGGCAAATCCCTTCCAAAATGTAATGCCTTTAGGGGGAGCTGCTGTGTGGATCCAGGCGCAGTGTGGCTGTTTGTTATCAAAACATTGCAACTGGGTGAAGCCACCAAGGGCGGTTCTTGTGCAGCAGCAGCAATACTTTAGTATTGGCGGGGAAGGATCCCGAGAGCCTCTCACGGGTCACAACAATGAAAAGATACTGAAAAACCTTTTTTTTAGAGCAGTTTTTACCCATCCTAGCAACTTGGGGGCAGCTGCAATTAATTTGTGCTAAGTAAAACCCCGGGTTGAATCAAGTAGCTGGTGCCAGCGGCCGCGGTGGCTCATCTAGCCGGGTTTGCGAAGCCACGCTGGCACTGGGAGGCTGCGGTGTGAGTCAAACCCACGCTTGGTTTTGAGGGAGCAGGGGGAGAGGTAACACCGCACTGCTGGTTGGGGTCCCAGCGGGAGGGGAGGAAATTGCGGGGGGGGAAAAGCTGACCCTGAGGTGCCCCGTTTCCTCCCCAGATTCGACTGGCGCCGTCGGCAGCTCCGATGTCGTCGTCCTCCTGCATGGCTTCCCAACCTCCAGCTACGACTGGTGCAAGGTGAGGGGAGCGAGTGCGTGGGGGGGGGTTGGATGCCGCCAGTTTTTCCTTCCTGGGGATGAGCAAACGGACACCAGTGGTGGCTCAGGGCAGGGTGGGCAATGCTCTGGAGGAGTTTCTGCTGGGGGTACCACTGTGCTCCAGGATTATCAGTCCTGTTCCTCTCCCGACACCTTGTACAGGAGCCAAGCTCTTTTCATCTCTATAGCCACAACTATTTATTGGCTTTTTTGGGGGATGGTTCTGTTTACTGGGAAATTTTGACCTCCTGCAGTTTTCTTGGAGCTGGAAGGTGCTGTCTGGGGGAGCGGAGGGGAGCGTGGCTGTCCGTGGCTGTGCATCGCCACAGGCTTCTCCTCTGTCTGCTCCTGTCGGCTGTTTTTTTTTTAATGCATTTCTCCTTTTTCCAGATCTGGGAAGGGCTGACCCAGCGGTTTCACCGGGTGATTGCTCTGGATTTTGTAGGATTTGGTTTCAGCGACAAGCCTGTAAGTAGCCTGGGAGGAGGATTTTTGCAGTTACTTTTGGCCCAGAGGTCATTCTGCCCTGCCAGCACCCCTGGAAAATTGGCATTTTTCAGTCCAATTTCTTCTCCTAGTTACATCTGGAAAAGGAATAAGACGTTATAATAGTGGAAGGGATGGGAAAGGTTTGTGGTGGTGATCGGCTCCGTCACCGTCTTGCCTTTACTTGGGTTTGATGTGATTCCAAAGCAGACCGTGACCCCTTTGGGGCATGGGCAGTGCTCCCACAGGCTTGTGCACACAGCTGCTGGGCCAGGACATCCCGACTGCTCCGTCCGGGGTCGCAAACTGCTGGTCTCCACCTCATATTCCTCAATTTGGGTGTTTATTCTGGAGTTTGTGAGCTCGGGGTGGGTCAGGCTCTCACTGTGGCTCCTCTCCCGCTTTGCTTCGCAGAGGCCCCACCACTACTCCATCTTTGAGCAAGCCAGCATCGTCGAGGGGCTGGTGCGTCACCTCGGCCTCCGCCACCAGAGGATTAATCTCCTGTCCCACGATTACGGGGATACGGTCGCACAGGAGCTGCTGCACAGGTCACTGCAACCACTGATGGTGCTCTTTTTTGTCCCCGTCAAGACGATTTCCAGCAGATGAGTGGAAGGACGTAGTGCAGAACCCCCTTTCCTCTGTACCTACAGCTGTAACGAACACTGGGAGACCTCGGGGCACATCCACGGTGGGTAGAGCTGAGGCTCCCATCCACCAAATCCCAGCTGCGAGGATGTTTTAACTTCCCTCCTGAGCTCCTTCTTATCAAGCCAGGGACAGCAGTGGAGCAGAGATCATCTGACACTGTTAATTTGACCCACTGGTCGGTCACTTCTTGGAGCCTGGAGAAGGTTTAGTTGTGTTTCACCTTCTTCTCTTCTGTCCCTAGATATGAGCACAATAAAACTGGAAGCATCTTGATCAACAGCCTCTGTTTATCCAACGGAGGTAAGGTTTGCCTGGCGTGGTGGGATCGGTGGGCTGGGAGGGATGGAGATCTGTGGGATGGGATGGCCTTCCCGTCTCCATCACCCAAGGGAAAGCACCACCTGAACCCAACGTGAATCGCAATTAAGGTGCCGTAATTAACCGGGAGCGTCAATCCTCGGGCTGCATTCGCGGTGCTTTTTGTGACACCACAAAGAAAGGGAGAGACTGGGAGATGCGGAGCAAAACGCTTGCAGCGTTACAGCTCTGTTCTTTCACATCCTTCCAGGGATTTTTCCTGAAACGCACTACCCTCGGTTCATCCAGAAGGTGAGCTGCTACCCCCTCTAGTTGTACTGAATCGCTCCTCAAGCAGAAGTCTGACTCTGTTGAGTTTGGGGTTTTACCTGGCTTGGATGCCTGCTGCTTTTCCCGTGTCGGTAATGCACCCGAGCTGCTCACAGGCATCGTTAGAGGCGGTGGGGAGAGGCAGGGGCTGTCAGGATGCGGCTTGTCTCATCCGAACATCCCGGTTAATCACCCCTTGAAGCGCTGATGTCACACTGTCGAGAGCTCACGTACATCTCGGCATTACCAAGGGTCGGGAAACTGCTGTGATATGGGGAACCAGGGAAAAAGCCCTCCGAGGAGGCAGGATTTACCCGTCTGTGCGATACCGAGTGGTGCCGTCTCCTTTTTCCCTTCTGCCCAAGATCCTCAAGGATGGGGGTTTGCTGTCCCTCATCATCACACGGCTGATGAACTTCTTCTTCTTCTCCAGAGGGTGAGTCGGGTCTCTGTGCTGCTGGGCACAGTCCGTACAGGGAGCGTGGGCCAAGCGGGGAGGGGGCAAACGTAGGAATTAGTGTAGTGGGTATCTGGGAGGTGAGCAGATCCTCCGGCACTATCCCAGAAGAGATTTGCCGCTGGATCTGAATGACCGTGATCTTCTGGGGCCGTTCCCTCTCCAGGTTGGCAAAGCGTTTCAGCCTAATAATAAACCACACGGCTTTTCACTGTACACTGAAATCCTTCTCTCCCACGAGTATTGGACTTGCAGGTGTGACGGAGGCAATGAAAACCCTACCCACACTCCGCATACGGCACGCAATCAGATATATGTTTTTATCAGATGTTACAAACCCTCTTTTTTTTTTTTCCAAAAAGCCCTTTAGAGTGGCCGCTAAGTCCAACACTGGGTGCCTTTGGGGGATGACTTGCAGTTCTGCGCTGGCACCCATCCGTTTTGTGGTAGAAGCTGGAAGCGCTTGACTGTTTTTTTGCCCTTGGCTAGTTTTTGAGCCGTACGCTAACAGCTGCCGCCGTGCTGCTCTGAACTCATTTTTTTTTTTTCAGGCTCGGGACAGTCTTCGGGCCCTACACGCAGCCTTCGCAGGCAGAGTTTTGGGACATGTGGACGGCGGTGCGGACCAACGACGGCAATCTCGTTGTTGACAGGTACGTCGCCGTTAATTGTTGCATGAGCTTAAGTTTTACACCTGCAGTATCCTTCTGTTTGCAGGCAGAGCCACGCAGCGGCTCGGAGGTTACCAGGCTCAGCCAGGTCCCTGGATGCTGGCTCCCCAGAACCTCCAGCTGCTTCTGTTGGGGTCTGGGATCGTCATTGCACCCCAAAAAAAGAGCTGGGGTGTGATGTAGGAGCAGGGATTCTTGCTGGGATGATGCAAGGCAGGTAAATGAAGTCTGGAGTCAGGAGGATCTGAGCTTGCACACAGTGGGAGGAGGACAACTCTGGAGATGTACAATGTGGGTTTTTTTCTTCTTTAGAAATTAGGGGCTTGAATTTGTGGGGTTTTGTTAACAACTGGAGCTAAATCTGGTTTTCCCCAGTTTGGGACTTTTGGAAGGATCTCGGGCGGGTGGTTGCGAGTTAAGTATCCCCATTCAGCGGGGCCTGCGCGCATCCTTCTCCCCCGGCACACAAACTCCTCTCTCCTCCTGCTGGGAACAATCTCTGGCCAAATCACAAAACACAGTAAGGACCAAACACCTCGGCCTTTCCAAAGGGCGCTCGCTAATTGCCTCTTATAACGAGGGATACTTGCCCAAGCCCAGCAATGGACACGTCTGACATTCTGCCCGTTTAGTATGTCCCATCGTGGCAAATTCTTGCCATGTCACCTTTGCCGGCAGTGCAGCTGTGATAGGAAGCTCAGTGCCGAAATATCTCCAGCCCCTTAAATGTTGTGTGTCAGAGTATTGGTATGTTTATTTAGCGTAGCTTCCCATCCTTGGAAGGCTTTTTATAATCCAACTGCCTTGAACCTGCTGTTTAAATTGTGAGCCTCAAGGCAAGGAATCACTCCCAGTTGCTGGTGGGGGGAAGGAGAGAGGCTGAGCAGCCTGTAACAGCTCAGATTTTCACTGTAAGACCTGAGCAGTGCAATTTCTCTTCTCCTGCATTCCTCCACGCTCAGTAGTTCAGCGTTGACTCCTGTTCTACAGCACACCGAAATGGTTTCAGAGCTCCTGCGCCGCCGGTCAGCCGAGCACGGGAGCGCTCGGACGGCGCTGCCTGTGCATTGGCTTTCAGCAGACTGATTTCTGCCCCGACATTTTGTAGGATCTGATTGCAAACCTGCTTTTTGCCCTGCGGCATCAAGTTTGTTACGGGGGGCTTGGCAGTAGCTGACCTTTCGGTGCTCGTTTGCCAGCTGCCTGCAGCCCACTGTGGCTTTCTGCACCGCCTGGAACGAGGATTAAAATGATTCACCCCATTTTACAACTCGGTGGTATTTGACTGGGAGCAGAGGACCCAAATTTCCTTCCCTCTGAGGTGGGAAGGATTCAAACCTCATCCTCCCACCTGCCCAGATTACGGGCTGTTTCCCCCTTCGTAAACAAACTTGCGTTACCCTCCTGAGAGACTCTGAACTGGACTCTGCACTTAGGGCACAGAGCTGGCAGGGGTGAGACCTGGAGTCAGGGTCGCAACCTCATTTGCACTTTTATTTGCTGACTATCTAAAAATAAACACGTGGGGCGGTTCTCTAAGCTCGGGGGCAGTCAGCAGACCGATTTTTTTCTTGCTGCCACCCCAAGGAAGTTGTCTGTCCACGGGAGACACAGATTCCACCTCCTCGGTCTCACTGGACAGGCACGCGATGCCCCAAGAGCAATTTCCAGGCTGTGCAGCAAGGCACCATCTGCTGCATAACGATTCTCTTCAGTATTTTGCAGTATATAAACCAGAGAAAGAAGCACAGAGACCGCTGGGTTGGGGCTTTGACGTCCACCTCTGTCCCACGTGAGTAGGAATCCCATTTTTCTTAATTTACTGGTTGTTTTCCTTGATTTACTGGTTGGGATGTTGGGAATCGCTGCCCCTGGCTTGCGGGCAGTAGAGCACGGTGCTGGCTCCTTCCGCTAATCGCTGGAGCCTCTCGTTACTCTGATGAGGACAACGTGACTCAAATGCGGTTTGTGCAGGGGGTAACAACCTTCCCTGCTCCAGTTTAAGGCTCGGTCACAGCAGAGAGCTGTGAGGTCGTTAAGGTAAGAGGAAATAGAGTTTGTTCCACTGAGCGGAGGTAACTTTCCTTTAGAGGCTGGTTCACAGCCTCCCGTTTCTCCAGCTGCTGCCCCAGGGAAGCCGAGGTGCTTTTCAAGCTCAAGAGAAGTTACAACCACTCAAGGAAAGGTTCGGTGTTTGCAGGAGAAGGGTTGGAGGCTTAACTTGACCCCAGGGCAGAGAAGCGAGAGCCCTTTCGGCAGCTGGTTTGCTCAGTGTTCTGCTGAAACCTTCCCAAGCTCCATGTTGAGGAGAACAGATGTACAACAGCCCTCCTGGGCTTGGTTTAGGAATAAAAACTCGCTCTGTGCTTCTCTCTTGCAGTGCATCTAATCTATGGGCCCCTGGACCCTGTCAATCCACACCCGGAGTTTCTTCAGCTTTACAAGTAAGCGGGAATACACAACTGGTCTTTCATTTTGAGGGAGATATTTTGTGTCAGACTTTTCCTTCCATTCCCTTTTCGTCGAGGCTGTTTTTAATTCCCACCTGTAACCTGCACAGCCAGGTGATTCAGTAGGAACCTTCTGCAGTTTGGAAACTGCTTCCCCATTTTAGGTACCAAACTCACAATTCTCAGTCAAATCAATTGTGCCAGAAAAACTACATCAGCCGGAGTTAAGATTTATTGACTGAGGTAGTCTTCTCCTCCAAACTAACCTGAAATAAATCCAGAACTTGGAAGAATGATCAACTGTAGCTGCTACAGAGTGGGTTTTTTGTGCCAAACCCATGTTGTGGGCAGAATCCCAACTGTGCAAGGGGCTTGCGTCTTCCTTGCTGGTAGCATCTTGCTGGCTGCAGTTCCTGTGCTTAAGCCTTGCTGCATTCTTCCAACAGGAAGGTGCTTCCCACGTCCACGGTGTCTGTGCTGGATGACCACATTAGCCACTATCCACAGCTGGAGGATCCCACAGGCTTCCTGAATGCCTATCTGAACTTCATCAACTCCTTCTGAGCTGCTGCAGCTCAGTGCTTGCTCTCTATTTATGAGTCAGGCTTTGGGGGCAGGAAAAAAACCTTGATTTTAATCTCCAGATCCAACACTTTGCACTAACACCTTAATCTTTGGCTGCCAAACTGTTGCATTTATACCGTTCAATCCTTTGAGCACCGGAAAAAAGATTAACCTGCAGGGAGGCACGGACAAAACTATCAACCTAAGGAGAGTTACAGGACACCGACAGCTCTTCTAGCCCTGCGCTCCCCTTGTTTCAGACCAATCTATGTCTGTATTTAGAGCCAGGAGGGCTCAAGGGAGAAGAGGAGCACCTGAGGGGAAGCAGAGCACATACAGCGGTCCAGGAGTCCTTCCTTCCCTTCAGCGCTAGGCTATGCTGCGTGCCACAGGCAGACAGGACCGCCAGCAGCCAAGGGTTGATGCGCGTATTCCCAGGATGGATGTTGGTCTGGTTTGTTTTTTTTTTTTTTTTGAGTTGCTGCGCAGGCAGTTTAAATTATATCCCCCTGCTAAGTGTTATAATACCCAGCCAGCTTGTCAGGACTGAAGAATTTGAAAGTGAGTTTGCATACGCTAATTACAGCAGGAGAGCTGGATCTGTAATCCCCCAACGTACAGGCAATGATGCTCTGCACCGGTAAAGGGGGGTTTAGGCACCACAATTCCATCTTCAGTAATCTCTTTTTAATGGCCAGTTACCCAAGGGCAAGCTCTAAACCTCAAGTTTTTCCCACAGCCCTTGTTTCTCTGATTTTTTCAGTTCAACAAGCAGAACCACTCACTGACACTACACCCTTGGGACTGCCTCGGGAGCTTCCCTGAAGCTTGGCTGTAGCAGGAAGCTCTATCAGGGCAGGCTTGTACCTGTTTCACTACAGCAAGCTGAATATGCAATACCGGCACTAGGAAAAGCCACGGTGTTCTTCTGAGCACTCGCTATTCCACAGGGATCTGGGACAGGTGTTTAAATCAGTACTAAAACAGTATTCCTTCCTTCCTCACCCTGACTTGATAACTAAGGAAACACCAGTTCATCAGCAGAGAGATGCAGAACTTCCCTCACAAGGAATTCACCGCGAGGTCCCTCCGTCCCCTTCTCTTCCCAACTTCTGATACAGGATGTTTTCCATCTTTGAGCCCAGGAAAAGGCTGCACTGTTGTTTGGTATTATCTGACGTAAGGCTCAGAGAACTGAATCTGCCTTGATGGATGAAGTTTCATCTCTCTCTCTGTACATTGATTTTTCTGTGTGGAACAGAGGAGACAATCATCAAGATATCGTTAAGTTTGCAGGTTGGCAGATCCTACAGGTTTCATGTGGTTTTTTTAACTGCCTATGTTTGAAATTTAATAGCATCCCGTTAGGAATAAGGGGCTTCTGCTGAGTAAACAGCCATTATGGGCTCAGCCATTAGGGGCTACTTTTTCTGTACTGAAGCAGAAAGAATTAGAACAAGAAATTTCTATTTTATTAACAGTAATTCATATGAATTCCACCACTTGGACCAGTGTTTATTTTCTGTTAATAAAAATCAATTTTGACAAAACTCAGATTCCATTTTTATCATCACTTGCATTTTTTTTTTTTTTGAATCTTCCCTGCTCTACTGCAAGTGGCCAGAGATACAATAAGTTAGACAGGAATGTGTAAGTGACAACGAGGGAAGGGACACAGGAAAGGCTCAGTAACAACCACTGTTGCCACTACTGTAACATCATACAAAATGTTTACCAAATTGAGGAATAAAAACTACATGCAGAAGGACAGACAGGCTGCTTGATATCCAGTAAATACCCAACCGGTGCTTGCAAAGGCTTCCACTGCAGTCAATACGCTGCAACGCTCAGCCTACAGAAGCCAGGATGACATCTACAGGCGTTTCTTCCTTGCTCCTAACCGTCACCTGCATGGTCACACCGTCTCCTAGCGCGAGCCTGGACCTCACCAGCACATCGCAGCCACCTCTGTAAACACCTGGGGACACAGCAACAGTCGAGAGATCACTGTAAGAAAGGCTCAGTGATCTAGTCCTAACCCTGGAGCCAAAAACCACCCCCAAAACTCAAAAGTCACCTAAGTTCTCGAGGCCAAGACTGAAGATAACAGATACTGTCCTAATTAAACCGAGTCAGCAAGTGCTGCTGGAGGGCTAGGCTGATTTAAATAGGTAGAAACCAGGGAGTGGGTAGCTGAAGCTGACTTGCAGTTTGAGAAGGCAACACATATCCTAGTTGTGCAGCGAAGGCACAGTCCTTTAGCTCAGTGCCCTGGCTGTTAAGGGAGGAGTAGTCCTCCTACGCTTCTACTAGAGCGCTGGGTGCTCCTGGAGGCAATTCAGACTGCGCGACGAGCCACTTCAACATCACTGCACAGACACACCTGGACAATTCTGTGCCCAAAATAAACTGAGATCCAACCCTGTGTCGGACTCTGACATACCATGTTGCTTTAACAACTCCAATAAAGTTTTGTAAAGCACTTGACATACAGGGGTTGCCCAAAACTGTTATCCTGGAGCACAGTCACCAAACAAGAAGCTGTGGGTACTGCAGGCCAGTTCAGGTTGGGTCTTAAGTGATGGGAGGTTGAAAACAAGATGGTCCTAGGAACCTCCTTCTGAGGTAACAACAGGCAAGGAAGTTAGTTAGGTGTCTGGTCTGGAAGTTCTTCATTCAAAGGATTCACTAGTGTTCCCACAGGTAGAATACCTCCATTCTGAGAGACACAGAGCCTAGCCTAAGTAAATTTGCAACAGCAGGCTCCAGATCAGCACTAGCTGCTAATTTCAACTCCCTGGTTCACTTCAGCTTTCTTTAGAGAAAAATTCTCAAAATGAGCAGAATCTTCTAACCCATCTCCCTTCATTTCATTAAATAATAATAAAAAATTATCTGTGTGGGGACATGGAAACATCAAGTTCAATAGCACGAATACTTACCAGCTAAGTAGAGCGTGTGAGAATTTTTGTTCTCTGGCACTTTATCTGATCTCTCACAGGGCTGCATGCCCAAGAACTTGATGATGTTATTGACAGCTTCTGCATTCAGAGATTGAAGAAGAAAATTACCTCCAGGTTGGTGCCAAGCTTTCTGTGAGATCTATTTTACAATGACAGAACATTCTCTAAACCTTAACCTTTTCCATTCGTTATCTGGAATGGAATAGGATATTCCATATTGTTATCACCAACACACCAACCTTGCCACGTCCCTTCTGCTGTCCTAACAGCCTGGGAACGCATTCCTCCCTTCAACCAGCTTCAAGCGAGAGAGCACTGCAAAACTTCCACTCACTATAATCCCAACACAAAGCTGGGACACAATGTCACGTTAAAAGGCACCAAATTCTCCTCCTACCATGCTAAATATATCTCCAGCGTGGCAGATTATTATGTGGGTCACCAATAAAAGAGGAGAGATCACCTCACCGTCAAGGGTTTTAATCGAACTTAGTGCAAAGGTTTCTTCTTTCTCAAAGTCACCTCCCACTTCTTCCCAGGCAGCTGCGAAGTTTGGCTTTAAAACCTTCTGAATATGATCAGACACGGTCACCTCCAAATCTTCCAACTGACAGAAAAGCAAGGGAGATTTTCAGCCGCCAGTTACAGAAACTATCTCAATCTTAGAAAGGGAAAGAAAGACAGAGAGCAGCATTTTGCCAAGACAACTCTGGCATGCCTGGCTTTAATTTCAGATGCTATTATTATGTGCTTCTGCTAAAAAGCAGAGAGAAAAATCGTATTTATGGTGGTCATCTGTAAAGCTTGATTAACAGCTTGATAAACATTAACACAAAACCATCAGTGAGACTAAATGAGAGCAGAAAATAGGGCAATTGCTGGGTGAGTCAAAGCCCATTCTAGTCCTTACTGGGCATCTGAGGAGAGAGACTTTCTCAGAATCCAGAAGGAGCCTTTACTTCCTCCAAGCCCAAAGGACAGGCACTTCCCTGAGATCTGACTTGTATTTCAGCGACTGAGAACATGAACACAACAAACAGAAGTGCAAATGCTTGGTTGGGGTGGAGAGAAAGATTGGGCTACAGTCCTGAAAACAGACAAGGGAAGTTATTCCTTCCTCCCTGTCTGTCCCTACAAATCCTATCTCCATAGGTCACTATCGCTTAATTATTGGCGGAAGCAAGGTTTTGAGGAAAGATCTAAAGTTACAAGCTGCCATGTTTTGGATGTGGCATTTCAGGCAGGCCTGACGTTCTCTCCTACTGGCTTCAGATCTGAAAGGAAACCATCGACTCAATGGCAATGTGTATTTCAAATCAGTGAAAAGGAGAAGGGGAAAAAAAACAACAAACCAACCAGTCCTGAACTTACCACATATTCATCATCGTAGCCATCATCTTCCGGCACACCTGTGTTTGGGTCACAGTCTCGAACAGTGAACTTCATTGTGCAACTGAAAGTACAAGCAACTGGGGAGGAAAAGAAAAGCCCGTAGAGGTTAGTGGTGCAGTTTCTTCTGCTTGAGTCCTTGCTTCCCAGAAAGGAACAGGAAAGAATGTGCCGTTGGCTTTCCCCCAGAAGATATGACACGGTTGTAGTCAGAGAATTTTTCAGCTTCACATAAAATATCCCCCTCCCAACTCTAAGATGAAGGTCAAAAGAGGATCTCAGGGGAGGAGTACGCCAAGGTCACAGTGTAACCAGCACAGCTCCACCAAACCAGTCAGCACAGGCTACCAGGAGCAGCTCTGCAAGAGTTCCTGACAAGTGGATTATGATCCAAAACCACAGTTCAAGGAATTCAGACTAGTTCTAATCTTCTCTGGTATTCAAGCGATAACCAAGGAATCCACCTCGCTGATGAGCTGAGTCATGTTAAACCAACTGCAAATCCAATGGAGTTTCTTTTAAGTGTGAATAGTTCAAGCAAGAAAGGGAAGCTTTATGCCCAAGAAAATCTCTCATTCCTAAATTTCATAGTCACTTCTAATTCTCTAAAGAGAGGAAAAATTGCATTAGCCAGATATGTAGAAGCCC